TGGGGGAGGAGGGGGAGGGGAGAAGGCGCGGAGAGCTCACCCACCTCTTTGATCTCTTCTAGAAGGTGCTGCAGTTCCCAGTTCTGCTCATTGATGAAGTTAAACTCGGCGAAGTTGCGTTCCTCAACTGGGGGAAATTAAGGTGGGGTACAGAGAGAGAGAGACAGAAAAACAGAGATCACAGAAGAGCAGAGAAAGAAATATTCAGAAAGACCACACAGAAAAATAAAATAAAATTGAAAACAAGACCACACACAGACAAAAGTAGAGACCAGTAGAAAGAAAAGGTATCAGCAGAGTGACACAAAAATCCAGAGTTAATCAGAGTGAAAGAGTCCGCGACAGAGAGAAAGTCTTAAGGAGGCACAGAGCAGGAGAGATGCAGGGGCTCAGAGAAAGGCGAGGTGTGAGAAAAGAGGGAGACAAATCCGAGAAACAGCAGCAGGGACGGGAGAGAAATGAGGGACACGGAGTGGACAGACAGACTCCATAGGCGGCCCAGGCGCGCGGCAGGGGAGGTGGGGAGACAAGGCAGATGCAAGAGGGCTACGGAAACCGAACCCCGAGGGAAGGGTACAGACCCCCAGGCCGGTGGGAAACACTGCAGGCTCGGGGGGGGTGGAGAACAACAGGATGGGGACAGCAAAGGGGGACAGAGACAGGCCATAGTCCCAGCAAATGGACAGAGGCCGCGCGTCCCAGGCCTGGTTCCTTGTTCCTGCGCCGGTGAAAGTCCCCAGGCCCAGAGAGGCCTAGCGCTGACCCAGGAAGGTCCACGCGGGATGTGGGGGTGCTGGGCCAAGAGCCCCCTCCCTCTGCCCCGCCACTCACTGTCCAGGTACTTCTGAACCAACAGATCCGGGTTGCTCTCGCCGGTCAGCTGGGACAGTTTACTCAGGGTGTCCTCATAGCGCATCACCAGCTTATCCTGGGAGCTCTTTCGGAGTCCTTCCGCCGCCTCCCCAGCTGAAGGAGCCACAGCTGCCAGGTGGCACCAGGGGCTCGGGGCCCAGGGCACCCGCTTCCACCGACACCCGGAGCCCTCCCTGGAGTGGCAACCAGGCCTCCCGGGTGGGCGTCACCCCGCTGCTCACGCTTCTCCGCGGTGAGATCCCCACGGTCGTTGTTCTTGAGCTTGAGGAAACGGTGCAGCTGGTCCAAGTGTGATATCTGCCGCTGCAGGATCTGCACCTCCGTGTCGTTCTGGGCCACCTCCTTCTCTGTCCGCTCCCGAAGCACGCCCATTTTGGTCTTTGCCTCCTCCCTGTGGGGGGAGATCAGCAAGGACCAGGAGGTCAGGATGGGGTAGAGGTCTGGGGTCCTGGTATAAGCACTGTCAGCTGGGGGTCGTAGGGATGGGGGGAAGTTAGCTGGGGGCACTGGGATGGGGCCAGGTCAGCCTGGGACGGAGCAGTCACCCTGTAATCATAAAGAGCACAGAGCTTTCTAGGCTCCGCGGAGCCAGATCAAGATAGGGCTATGGGGCAGCCAGGACCTTGTGAGGACTGACAGCATGGCCCACTGACAGGCACTGCCACTGTACACAGGGTATCTGGGAGGCCAAATGCCCTCGTGACCCTGGAACAAGAACAAAGGTGGTGATGAGGGCCAGTGGGAGATTATACCAGGATGCCCAAACGTGGGCCCAGGTGATAAGGTGACTGTACCAGAGCTGTGAGGTTGTGTTGTTGGAAATTTAGAGGCTTGTACAGCTCAGGGCCTGGTAAAGCCAGGGAGGAGGTGTCACCCCATTAGGATATCAGGGACTCCCTAGAAACCTCTCTCATGCACATCCCCTGCCTTGCTCAGCTCTGAACGCAGCTTTTCTGCTTTTGGCCTGGTGTGACCAACTGTAAGTTCACCACACCTAGCCTACTGCAAGGTCACAGGGTCAGGGGGTAGGACATAACCAGGGCCAGTTCCTGAGACTCTCTGCCCACTGCCGTTCTAGTTCCCACCTCCAGACCCTGGCCAGTCTTGGTTCCTCCACCCAGATCCCAGCTTCTTGCTGAAATTCGATTCCTTCAAGGCTAGTTATGGCCAGGCCTCATGGGTGGGCAGCCTCCCGACAACCTGGTCCCCAGGGACAGCTCCAGCCTCGCAGTCAGGACTTGCAGATCTTTCTGTTCCTGGGACTCCATGGAGCCCAGGGACAGGGGAAAGAAACCCAGCTTCCGGGCAGCTAGGACCTTCAGGGGTCTGCCTTACAACAGTAGCTCGGGGAAGCAGAAACCATCATGACAATCGTGTCACAGTGAAGGAAACAGGCTCAGAGAGGGACAAGGACCTGCCCAGGTCATCCAACAAGGAAGCACTGGAGACACAAACTGGTATGACAGAAAGTGTGGGCGATGACACCTGCCCCTGCTGAAACTGCCCTCTGCGGCGCCCAGGCAGGTGCCCACTTCAGGAGGCTGGAGGAGAGTGGCACAGGCTTGTTTCTGGCAATGCTCGGATGGACCATAAGGATGGGCAGAAAGTATGAAACACGACAATCAGATTCCCTCCCTCAGAATGTGAATTAGGAAATGCTAAGAATGAGAGAACAGGAAGCCAAAGCTAGAAGGGTGTACAGCGAGAAAGACCTGGGCCATGGCAGAGCCAAGCCATGAAGAAGCCCAGCTGCGAGGGAACAGAAGCCACCAACTAGGTACGGTCAGGCCCTGAAGGGTCAGGGCAGGACAAAGCTGAGAAACCACAGAGGCTGAGCCTCAGAAGCTTCACCCTGAGGGAAAAGCCCAACACGAAAGGTCCCAGGCTGCCGATTCCACCTATATGAAATGGCAGAACAGGCCAGGCCCAGAGACGGAGGGAGCCTGGAGGGCACCAGGGGCAGGAGAGTGAGCAGGAGTTTCTTTTGGGGTGACCGAATGTGTTGGAGAGGAGAAGTGGGTACAACATTGGGGCATTCTAGATGCCGTGGGCTGCACACTTGGAGATGGTGAATCTTGTTATGTGCATTACAAAGAAAGGAAGAGGAAGGGAAGAAATCACAGAAACCATGAGGCACACCTGGTCTTCAAGGGACCCGGTGGTGTCAGGCGCCTCCAAGAAGCAGAAGTCAGGGAGTGGACAGCAGACGCAGAGGAGAAGGTAAGATGCCAAGCAGGGAGCGGGAGAGGTACCCGGGGAGCTGGGAGAGGTGGCAGGGGAGCTGGGAGAGGTGGCAGGGGAGCAGGAGAGGTGCCCGGGGAGCGGGAAGAGGTACCCGGGGAGCGGGAGAGGTGCCCGGGGAGCGGGAGAGGTGCAGCCGGGGAGCGAGAGAAGTGCAGGGAGCGGGAGAGGTGCAGCCTGGAGCCCCGCACAGGAAAGAAGCCAGCATCCAGCTTCCAGGGCTCCACTGGGAAGCAACCTGGGAGAACCGCGTCCCTTTCAGCCAGCACTGACGAGCCTCGCTGCTGGGTGCCTCCGCGAGTCCCAGGCCCCCAGCTACGTGCGTCACCTGAACTCTCTCTCCATCTGGGAGCTGGAAGCATTAACCGACAGGGTGACCTGAACCCTCATTCTAACCACGTGCCGAGAGGCGAGAGGCGGAGAGGCGGAGAGGCAAAGAGACACGTCACTGGGGAGCTGGCTCGGTCGCTTCTTGAGTCTAGAGCCCTCCCGCCCTCGCCCTGTGAGTCTAAGCCGCCCCGCCCCACCCCAGCCGCGAGCCCGGGGCCCCACCTGACGGTGTAGGCGGAGGTGGAGGAGAAGATGAGCGAGCTGACCATGTGCCGCAGGTGGTGGATCTCCTGCAGAGAGGAGCAGGAAATGAGCGCTGCACTGCCCCGCCAGCAGAGAAATGCCCAAGCTGCGACCGGAGCCTCCTCGGGAGCAGTTGCCTGTGAAAGGGCCCTAAAGAAATATGGGACAGGGCTGGGCGGGGCCCAGCGGCAGAGCACTTGCCTGGCACGTGAGAGGCGCCACATAAATAAACAGATAAACAAAGGCATGGTGTTCATCTGCAACTACAAAAAAAATTAAAAAGAAGAAGTGTGGGACAGAGGAACATGGAATGGATGAGGGGCAGAGGTGGCTCAGAGCAGCTCTCCAGGGAAAACGCCTAACCAGGCCTGTTCCTGAGAGGGGTGGGCAGGGAGATCCAAGCGGGCCCTATCACTGTGCTGCAACGGGGATGCAGGTCCCCCCAAACACAGAGGTCCACATGGGGAAAGCCTGCTCCCAGCATCAGGTCACTGGGAGATGGGGTCACCTTTAAGAAGAGGAACCTAGTGCTAGGTGATTAGGTCACTGGAGGTGCTGCCCTCAGAAGGACCCTGAGTGCATTCTTTTGAGAGCAAATCTGGCTCCTTCCCTGTCTCTTGGTCTTCCTGTCTCATCATATAATGTCTTCCTCTTGCCCATGCTCCACCATGATGCCATCTACTATGATGTGACACAGTCAAGGGGGCCTTACAAGAGCCAACATTGTGCCATGCAGACTTTCAGCCTTCAAAACTGTGAACTGAATAAACCTCTTTTCTTTATAATAAAGTATGAAGCCTCAGGTATTTGTCATAGCAACAGAAAATGAATTAATATACCCTGTGACCACACTTCTATTTTCTGTTTTCTAGTTTCACAGATATTTCTACAGTGTTATGGGTAAAAATTACTCTTTCAAAAGGAAGAAAGAGCCAGGTGCAGTGGCACATGCCTGTAATCTCAGTGGCTTGGGAGGCTGAGGCAGGAGGATCACGAATTCAAAGCCAGCCTCAGCAACTTAGCAAGATCCTAAGCAACTCAGCAAGATCCTTTCTCTAAATAAAATACAAGAAGGGTTTAGGGATGTGGCTCAGTGGTTAAGGCCCCTGGGTTCAATCCTTGGTACAAAAAAGGAAGGAAGGAAGGCAAGAAATTTTATAGACATTCACATACATAAAACATGTAAGATACACAGATACATAAACAGGTGGGCATACACTACAACCTACGTTAGGGTGGAGAAGTAGGAAACGTGTGACGACCGGAGCTGGGTGGGGACCAGGTAGAAGAGATGGAGGCAGCGATGTTTCCTTGGGACACCTTTAAGAAGAGGGCGCTCTGCCACCGAGCCACACCCCAGCCTTTATTTATTTATTTATTTTTGATTTTGAGACAGGGTCTCACTAAGTTGCTTAGAGCCTCACTAAGTTTCTGAGGCTAGCTTTGAACTTGTGATCCTCCTGCCTCGGCCTCCTAAATGGAATATTTTTGATTTGGGAGAATTGTTAATGTTTTACTTATTCATAAAAGAAATCAACAGAGAGAAAAGGAAACCAACCCCGAATATAAACAGAAGTCATGAACCTCACTGTATCACACATGAAGAACATGATCACAGGCTGGGGATATGGCTCAGTTGGTAGAGTGGCTTTCCTTGCATGCACAAGGCCCTGGGTTCAAACCCCAACACCACTAATAATAATAATAATAATACAGAAGACCAAAAATAGAACTACCCCAAAAAACTTCTAAACGCCTAGGAGAAAACAAACTAGAAGCCAACCTTGACCCCTACTCGTTATATTGGGGCGGGGAGTAGCACAGCTGAAGCAATTCTGAAACTCTTTTGAGTATACACATGATTGAGCTGACAAGTAATAAACTAATAAGATTGTTGCTTTTGGGAGCCAGGATTGCCACCGTGGAGAAGCGAGATGAAGGGGGCACGTCCAGTCAAACACCAGTGATGCTGGATTGGAATTCAAGGTGTTAACAGAAATTCCTGGCTGTCTCCAGAGGAAGGGCTTCAAAGTCGTGAGGATCCATAGCAGTGAAGGCTCGGTGTCTGATTCCTGGATTCTCAATACCTGCTCCCCACTAGGAAAGAACAGGACTCCTAGGAGGATGGTGAACTCCAAGGTTAGGGCAGAAGAAGTACAAGGTCACTTTTACTGTCTGGCCAGAAAGTGCTTAAAAAAAAAAAAAGTGGTGGGGCTTGCCCCAAGGTCACAGAGCCAACTTGAAAGGGCACTGAGTCCCCAAATCTGGGAGTATCCGAGCATCAAAATCAATGATGATACCATGGGCTATCACCACTAGAAAGACAAAGTCAGAATGCTCACTGATGACCAACACTCAGGGGAGAAGGGGCCTTTCCTGAGAACAGTAAAAGACACGGAGAAGTAGAAAGCTCCTCTGCAGCCGCGGCCCTCAGGATGCAGGCAAATCAGGAAGGGGGCTGACCAGGCCAGTGAGCAAACACGGGAGGCAGGAGGTTTCAAAGACGAAGAATCTCCCTGAGACCCTTGTGATATACCCATTACAAAGAGAAGCCCACCTGGGGGAACCCAAGGGTCAAAGGCAGCCTCACTAGTCAGGGGCCAACAGGGAGCAGAGGCCTCCTGCTGGACCACACAGCTCAGGACCTGGCGCAGGGCACTGAGCAGCCTCAGAATTAGAACATGAAGAAAGGCCAGAAGAGCTCCTAGAGAGGGACATGCACAACACGGCTGGCCTGGATGCTTCCAGAATGCCAAGGTCGTGGAGACAGGAGAGCAAAGGCAGCATCCCAAAGGAACCAAGAATGGAGCCAGGACAATCAAATGCGACCTGGGATCCTGGACCGGAGCCTGGAGCCGGAAAATCAAATTAGCTACAAAGGACGGCATGGGGCAGTCTTGCAACGTGGACCCGTTAGGATTCGAGCAATGTCAAAGTTCCTAGCTTGGATAACTGCACCCTGTTTGTTTATAAAAATGGCTGTTCTTAGGAAATGTACAGAAGTACTGAGGAGCACAATGCCTGCGACATACTGTGTAACTGAAGGACATCCGTGACACTAAACCCCTCCCAGAGGACAGTGAGCGCCGAGCAGGGGCCGGCCCATCATCCTGGTGAAGGAGTGCTTTGTACGATTCTTGCATCTTTTCTGAAGGATCAGAGTTATTTCAAAGTAAAAGTGAACAGAGTAGGGGACGAAGGGGACGAAGGTGGGCAGATTCTTCAAAGGACTCTGCAGTGTCACTGACTGACCTGCAGGTGCCAGGTCCCCATCCCTGGGACTACAGCAAACCTGTGGCTCTGAGCAATTCCAAGCGAGGCTGGAGCACTGGTGCGGGCAGGGAAGGAGCGAGGGGCCGGCAGGACCAGGCCAGGGCTGCCCGCCTCACTGACCTTCTTATCGGTACCACGCACTAACCGACTGCCACTGGAGCTCCGCACTGACCTTCTTCATCTTGCGGTCCACGTTCAGATGGCGGCGCCTTTCAATGCGCAGCAGGTCCAGTTCCTCCCGCAGGGCCGCATTCCGTACCAGCTGGATGTCAAAGTGACAGGTGACCTGGGGTGGGGGGAGCAGTAGTCTCTGAGGCCTGGCCTGCCTCCGTCCTCCAGACCCAGCCAAGGAGGGGGCACAGAAACCAGCCTGTCCCCTCTGGGGACCCTGAGAGTGGACTGCCCCACTTGCAGGGCTCTTCGGTCACCCTGACTTGGGATCCTCCGACCCCCTGGGGTCCTTTCTCCTGATACTGCTCCCTTCGCCATTTCGGAACCCCACTCCTATGTGCAGTGTTTCCCCACCCCAGAGTCGGGGTCTGGGGAGCAGAGACACCGCCCTCACCCTGTTCAACTGGTCTTCCAGGATCTTGATCCTTCGCTGGACCTTGGCCTTCTCTTTCTGGATGAAGCCGGGAGCCCTGGCGCTCTTGCCCTGGGTGAAGATGCGGGTCTCCCACTCATCGATCTGGAAGACAGGATGGTGTCTGTCAGTTGCCCGGGAGACCTTGAATGGCCAGGCAGACGGCCGACATCCACTGTCCCTCCCACCTCCCACATCCCTAACCCTCCTGTGGTTCTGGGGCTCCATATCCAACCATGACCCACCCCCTGCCAGCCCCATGGCCCAGCTCTGGACGACGGCGGGGGCTGGCCTGGGGGGGCGCCGTGGTGGGAGCTGAGCCAGCCGGCTCCTGCCCTGGCGTTGGGGGAGTGCACGAGACGAGACTGAAGGAAAGGATGGCTGCCATCACCACCCCTGCCACACAGAGGCCCGGAGAATGAGGCCAGAGTGAAGAGGAGCCCCAGAGGTGACAACGGGAGCCAGTGGGTCAGTTTGTGCCTAGAGCCAGCTCCCTCCCAGCTGCCTCCCTTCCGTGCTGCCTTTGCTTAGCTCACTGGGCTCCGAAGGAGGCCTCATTGGGGCAGATCTTTCTTTGTCTGAGTCTCTTCAGGGGAGGGTGACGCCTCTGTGCAGCCCACAGCAGTGACCTGCTTAACACTGTCTCCTGACCTGTGCTGTTACGGGTTGACTGTGTCAAAAACTCAACCCAAGTCCCCACCCCACCCCGTAGCTAAGGGTGTGACCTTATTTGGAGGCAGGAACTTTACAGAGATCAACAAGTTAAATCAAGGTCCTTAGGTGGGGGCCAATCCCACCTGCTGGTCTTTATGGAAAGGGGACATGTGAACATGGATGAGCACCCAGGAAGGGCATCGTATGAGGGCGATGCTGAGGGACACATCCACAAGCCACCGAACCCACAGGTGCCAGTGGAGGGGAGAGGCGGGGACACTTGCCCTCACTGCCAGGGACCCAGCTCCGCCAGCACGTCGGGCCTGGACTTCTGGACTCCAGCGCATGAGACAACCCCTGTCTGCTGTAAGAGTCCCCACACAGGGGACAGGAAGCCCGCCACCACCAGCCACCTGGGCCTGCACGGGACACCTCAGAGCACGCAGCCGCCTCCCGACTCCCCCAGGGGTGTTCAGCTGCTTGAGGAAGACATCGACCAGACCCCAGCGCACCACGGGCCCAGGCAGTGCACAGGCTCGGCACCAGCTGGGGCCACTTTCCTTACAGGGACGTCACACCTGTGTGACCAGGGTCTCAACAGCTGGTGTGATAAAAATAAAACTAAAACCCCCAAGTTTTACCCCTGGGGGAAACTGAGCCAAGGGTATGGGTCACCTCTGCGTTAGTTCTTGCAGCTGCTGTGAATCCACAACTATCTCCAACTAAATTTTCTACTAAAAACTTCTTTAAATGTTCCATTAAAAAAAAAAAAGCAAGTCCATCTATAGGTGAACGGATTGAGAAACTGTGTACACACACGGGGGTTCTGCTCAGCTATGAAGGAGGGGGAGGTGGTGGCATTTGCTGGTGAGTGGATGGAAATGGAGACCATCGCGCCACGTGAAACAAGCCAGACCCAGAAACTCAAAGGTGAGACGCTTCCTCTCATATGTAGCAACTAGAGTACACCAAGGAAAGGAGGGAAGGCCCAAGACGTGAAGATGCAGGAAGGTCAGCGTGGAGGCAGCATGGAGGGGCAGGACAGGGGAGGAAACGAGGAACAAATTCTGAGAAACCAATGTCATGTGCATAAATAGATACCCCTCAGGGAACTTCACCCTGGGTAGAAGTGAAAAGAAACAACCAAAAACTAATAAGTAGACAAGCAAAAGGAAGTCTAGACGAGGGGTGGGGGGAGGACAGGAAGGAAGAGTGGGGGGATCGCGAACTGAAACCGAGTCCCACACAGGTATGATGTTGTCAGGATGGGCCCAACCACTCTGTGTGACTGTCATGGTCCAATAAGAAAAAAAGCAAGTAATGCACGCTACAGGAACAATAGAGTTCCACAAAATCACCTGGGAATGAAGGCAGCCATGCTCAATCTGGCTTCAAGAGTTGGAAAGACTGTTCAGGGCCTGTACACCATCCAGCTGGTAAGGATCCTGACTTTTTGGGGGGGGTGGGGGGCTGGGAATCGAGCCCAGATCCTTGCATGTGCCTTCCAGGCAAGTGCTCTACCACTGAGCCATATTCCCAGCCCAAGAATGAAATACAGATTTTTAAAATTTATGCATATTGTTCTTACAAATGGTTTACATAAAAAGGTTTCTAACCTGTCAGAACACAAACATTTATAAGATTATTTTAAACTAGTTAATAAATACAACTGTCAGCAGTGCACTATGGGATCACCTGAGACCACTTGGAGAGCTGAGTAGTATCTTTTCAGGAATTCTGTGAGCCAGTTGTTAAATGTTGGTCATATAAAACTGCCCCCCGTATTAGTGTTCTGCTGCTACAGACCATATTAGTCAACTTTCCGTTACTATAATGAAATGCCTGGGAAAATTAACTTAAGAAAAAAAGCTTTGTTTAGCTCACACTTCTAGAGATTCTGTTCCAAGATTCGGTGGTCCCATTGCTCTGGGCCTCTGGTGAGGACATTATATGACAATAACAAAGGGCACATGTTGGACCAAACCAGTCCATCTTGAGCCAGGAGGCAGAGCAAGAGACGGAGGCCAAGGTACCACAATCCCCTCAAGGGCACACCCCAGAGGAAGGGGATATGCAAAGGTGTCAGCATATTCATCACAGCCAAGATGGGAGGTTCACCTTGTGAAAATTAACAAATGCTACAAGTTAAGGTGCTTCCCAGCACACCTCTGGCCGGCAGGGATTTCTCTGGGGACTAAAAAAATTACTAAGAAATTAAGGGCTCCAGGAATCAACAGAGCTTAGGACCCACCAGCTCAGGAAATTCTCCCCAACGTTAGAAAAAAAACTCTTACAATTTTTAAAAATATTCATATGGTTTTTATACAGTGGGAGGTAGGAATTTTTTAACAGTTTTATTGAGGTGTAGCTGACATATAGTGTAACTGCCCACATCTGAGGTATACAAGCTGGATACAGTGGCCACACCTGTAATCCCAGTGGCTCGGGAGGCTGAGACTGTGCGATCCCGAGTTCAAAGCCAGCCTCAGCAAATTTGGGGGTGGGGGGCCTAAGAAACTGAGCTAGACCCTGCCTCAAGATTTTAAAAAGGGTGGGGGTGGGCTGGGAATGTATCTCAGTAGTAAAGAGCCCCCAAGTTCAATCCTCAGTACCAAATGGGGGGAAAAAAGATGTAAGGTGTACAACTGGATGAGTTTTGACATAATCAAGATAGTGACTATACCCACTACCCCCAGGCCTCCCCACCCTCTCACAGTTCTCCCCACGCTCTCCACGGCCCCTGCCCCCGGCTGTCACCCCTGTTTTCTGCACCATTTCCACTTATTTTAATGGAACCATATAGTGCATACTCTTTTAGAAGCACAGGGTCTGGCTTTTCCCCCTCAGGGTGATGGGTCTGAATTCCCCACCCTGTTGTGGGGTCCACAGTGCATTCTTTGCCCTGGTGAACGCGATTCCACTTTTTGCAGGTCCCACGATGTGTTTGTCCTTTCACCCCCTGATAGACGTTTAGGTTGTTTCCAAGATTCAGCTTGGGAGTTTACCAATCAAGTTGAGTCATTATCAATATTCACGTACAATTTCTTGGGCTTCCTTTTCTCTTGGGCAAATACCGAGGAGTGGAACCCCTGAATCTTATGATTTGCCAAACTCCCTTCCCATGGTCGCAGCCTGTGTGTCCTCAGAGCAGAGTGGAGAGCCCCGGCCCCTCGAGGCATCACCCTGCTCACCACACTGCCCCAATCCTGAAGTCCCAAGTCCTCGATGCTGCAGATACTGCAACAAAATCCACACAGGAGCATTCAAATAGGTGGGAACTTCCCATGCTCCAGAGCTTAGGTATTAGAACACTAAAGTCCTCATGATGGTTATAGAATTATGTATCATATACTGTATTTTAGTTTTTATAGATGCTCCACTTCTGGGGCAATGGTTCAGTGAAATTCATTTCCTTCCTAGTGTATCACTTTTGTTCAAGGGCAGTGTGGCCTGTTTCTGAATTGTATGTAAGATGAAATAATGCTGCATGGATGTTTGATGTCTTACTTCCTTCATTCAGTTGTTATTTACATTCATCCATGTTACTGTCCCTAATCAAAATCCATTCGTTTTTCATGGTTGTATACTATTTCATTACACAAACATACCACATTTCTTTACTCATCTAAAGGCTGATGGACCCAGGCTGGCCAGTATGGGAATGCTCCTACCAACATTCTCTTATATGAGTCCTGGCTACAGGACTCAGATGTGGAATTTATGAGATTATGGGTGATTATGGGTGATGAGGAGGAAGGTCAACAACAGATCTAAACCCCTTTTCTGTGGGCGAATGACTGGTTGACTCTCTCCCAACACTGCTCCCACGGAGTCAGACTGGGCTAAGGCTAGCTGGGTCCCCAGGTAATGATGTTGAGTATAAAAAATGACACCCAGGGGGCTGGGGATGTGGCTCAGTGGCAGAGCACTTGCCTAGCATGTGTGAGGCACTGGGTTCGATTCTCAGCACCACATACAAATAAGTAAGATAAAAGTATCGTGTCCACCTACAACTTAACACCACCCAGCCGCCACACAGCATCACCAACTGCCATGCTCCTGCTGCCAGCTGAGAGGCCCTCACAGGACGCACTGCCTCCCGTCTGTCCTCCACCCTCCGGGCAGCTAAGTTCCAAGGGCCACACTAGAACCTAGTGGCCCCATGATGTGAAGGCCAGGCTGAGCCCCCGCCCCTCGTGGTGATCAGGCCAAGAGGATGGCCTAGGTCAGAGTCCACCTTCAGATTTCATAGATACTGGGGGAGGGTTGTGGCAACTTACACCCCCGCTGACTAGCAAGTGTCCCCACTGCTCCTTTACCCCAAAATGATGCTTTTATTCAGACGCCAGTGTTTGAAGGCCTGGTGTGTTTCAGGATGCCTCACCGTGGTCTTCTCGAGCTTCCTCTGATTACTTATGATCCCCATGTTTACTGAGCATCCACGTTTCTTATTTTGTGATGTGTCAGCTTTGACTGTTTTTGCAACTGCACTGATTCTTAATGACATGAAGAAGTCCCTCACAGGTCCTTGGTGCTAGTCCTTGGTTAGCTGTGAGCTGCAGATAACCACTCCTACCCCCGGACTTCCTGGGCCTGCTCTTTATGGTTTCTCTGGATAAACAGAATTTACCCATTTTAATGTCATGGAATGAATCCATCTTTCCCTTTAGAAGTAGAGGTTTCTGTCACTTCTTTAAGAAATCTTTCCCACCCTCACACAATTATCTCTCTCTGATCATCTGAAATTAATTAGGAAAATGTGAGGTCAGGGTCTGATTTCATCTCATAATTTTTATGGATATTCAATTTTTCAGCACCATTACTGGAGTTCTGTTTCTCTGAAGTTATAGATCAAACGTTCACATACGCACAGCTCTCTTTCAGTGGCTCTTGGCCGCTGAGCCACATCCCCAGCCTTTTTAATTCTGATTTTGAGACAAGGTCTCATTAAATTGCTGTGGCTGTCCTTGAACTTGAGTCCTGCCTCAGCCTCCTGAGTCACTGGGATTACGGTGCGCCACTGGCTGGCTTCTTTCAGGGACCTCTATTTTGTCTCATTGATCCGTTGGATTAGCTAGTTACTAGAGCTTTACCATCAATTTTGATAACTGATGGGGCGAATCCTCCCACATTCCTCCTCTTCTTCTAAGTAAACCTTAGTTACCTTGTCCTTTGCACTGCCGTACAGACTTTGGAATCTGCTTGTCAATCACACCCGTAAAGAATAACAACGAGGCTGGGGGGTAACTGAGTGAGCTCCTGCTCAGCAGGCATGAGGCCTGGGTTTGACTGCAGCACTGCAGACCACTATCACCATCACCTTTTTGATTGGGATCATATTACATCTATAAATCAATTTGCAAGAACTGACATTTTACAACACACTCTTTCAATCCATGAATGTGGTATACCTCTACATTTATTAAATGTTTCTCTAATATCCTTCAATACAATTTCACAATTTAGTCCACAGAGGTCATGCACTTTTATTAGATGTCTTCCTAAGGACTTCTTTTGGCTATTATAAATGTCTTTTTTTTTTTTTTTTTTTGGTACTGGGGATTGAACTCAGGGGTGCTTCATCATTAAACCACATCTCCAGCCCTTTCTATTTTTTATTTTGAGACAGGGTCTCCCTAAGTTGGTGAGGGCCTCCCTAAATTGCTGAGGCTGACCTCAAACTTGTGATCCTCCTGCCTCAGCCTCCAGAGTCACTGGGATCGAAGGTGTGTACCACCGCATCTGGCCTTATTTTATTTTCTAATAGTTATTGCTGTTACAGGGAATTACAATTGCCTTTGCATATCAATGACTTTATATCCAGCCCATTGTTAAAAGACCTCATTAATTACAAGTTAGCCCTAGATTCTTGGGATCTTCTATGTACATAAATATGTCATCTATAAATAATGACAGCTTTATGTCTTTCTCCCCAATCTTTTTATCCATTTTCTTTTCCTTGCTTTTTTTTTTTTCTTCTTCTTTTCTTTCTTTCTTCCTCTATACTGGATAGGACCTCCCTAGCGTGCAATGTTAAACACAACTGGTGCCACCTGACAGCCTGGTATTGCTACTAATCTCAAAGGGATCCTCTTATTTTTCCATGTGTTACTGTCAAATATGATATCTACTGTAGATGTTTTCGATGTTTTTTCCCTAGTTTGCTTAAGAGTTTTATTGCATTTTTTTCCAGCACGGGGGATTGAACCCACTACCTCACAAATGCTGGGCAAATGCCCTGCAAGTACTGAGCCATGGCCACAGTCCTTGCTTAATATTTTTAACCTTCAATGTCTGTTGAATTTTATCACGGAATGTTTTGTCTGCATAATGTGGTAAATATAGAAAATGAGAGTAAGCATCACAAACAGTGTTGATGCTCACTGGGCGTGTGGCACACACCTATAATCCCAGAGGCTTGGGGGCTGAGACAGGAGGATCGTGAGTTCAAAGCCGGCCTAAGCAAAAGCAAGGCGCTAAGCAACTCAGTGAGACCCTGTCTCTTATAAAATACAAATAGGGCTGGGGATGGGCCTCAGTGGTGGAGTGCCCTGAGTCAATCCTCAGTACCTGCCCCCCTCAAGAAACAGTGTTGCTGAATTCACATGGAAAATTGAGCAGACACAAGTCTTATAAAAATGACAGTAATAGGGCTGGGGATATGGCTCAAGCAGTAGCGCACTCGCCTGGCACGTGTGCGGCCCGGGTTCGATCCTCAGCACCACATACAAAGTTGTTGTGTCCACGGAAAATTTAAATAAATAAATTCTCTCTCTCTCTCTCTCTCTTTAAAAAAAAAGTAACAGTAATAAATTAAAAACTTTTTCAATTGGCCCTTCAACACATAGTTTGAGAAATTCTGAGAATCTCCACTCGTAATAAATCTAACTGGAGAGGCTGGGGTTGTGGTACAATGGTAGAGCACTTGCCTGGCATGCGTGAGTCACTGAGTTCGATCCCCAGCATCACTTAAAAATAAAAACAAATAAAAAACAGGTATTGTGTCCATCTTAAAAAAAATCTAACTGGAGACTAATTTTACATTTTTTTTTGCCAGGAAAGCTCGTCTATTCGCTTGTTGATGATATTTTCACTGGTGTAGTAGTTTGACACTTTTCTCCTTTTTTTGTGTGTGTGTGTGTATGTGTGCGTGTGTGTTGCTGAGGACTGAACTCACTGTTTTCTGCCACTGTTTTTTTAGGGATCAGCTGTCTAGCTGAGCGTGGGTAAATGCCTGTAATCCCAGCAAGTCAGGAGGCTGAAGCAGGAGGATCACAAGGTCAAGCCCAGCCTCAGCAATATGGAAGACCCTAAGGAACTTAGCAAGATTCTTTCTCAAAACGAAGAACAAAAGGGGCTGGGGATGTGGGTTCATTCCCCAGTACCATAGAAAGAAGGAAGGAAGGAAGAAAGGAAGGAATCAGCTATAGGTCTAGCTATGGTTCCTCTGAAAAAGTTGTTTTCTGGCTACTTTCACATCCTTTCTTGACCTTGTGTGTGTACTGGCCAGTTCTCTACTGTGGGACCCTAACCCCTATCTGACCTGCAGTTCTCCATAATCAAGTTTCTTAGGGCAAAAGAATCCATGGGATCAAAATAAGCAGATCATCCTGCTTGGACCTGACTCTGCTGAGTTTCCATGGACGACTAAAGAAAGCAACTGAAGCAGACACACCCACTGAGCCCCTGAACTTCACGAAACAGCCACAAGCCTAAAGTGAAAACCAGAATTCAGCTTCCAAAAGGCAGTCAGTGGTATCAAGGGCTGTCCAAACAGACCAACTGAAATTCAAATGGAATCAAACCATGAACCATGTGATAGACACAGTCAGGATCACTGAAGGCATCCGTGTCCTAATTCCTGTAACCCGTGAATACGATGTTACCTTCAACAGCCAAAAGGACTTTGTGGATGTGATAAAGTTGAGGATCTGGACATGGGGAAATTAGCGTAGAAAAAATCACGTTGTTTGCAAGGACAAGTAGCTGATCTGGGTGGAGCAATTTGATCAGAGGATCCAAAAACATGAAAAGGGGAGGCATGAGAGTCAGAGAAAGAGAGTGGTTAAGAAAAGCAGGGCTGGGGTGATACAGCCCAGAAAAAGACTCAACCCACCACTGCCAGCTTTGAAGGAGGAGGAAGGGGTCACGAACCAAAGGATACAGTGGACTCCAGGAGATTTAAAAAGTATGGAAACAGATTAACCCTGAAGCCCGCAGAAAATGCAGCCCTGACAACACCCTGCTTTTAGACCAGTAAGACCCCTTCAGACTTCAGACGTCCAGGGCTGCCATGTTCTGTGGTCATTGTTACAGCAGCAATAAGAAACTAATACAGACCACCACACAGGAGCAACTTCCAAACTCCCATTTGTGAGTCAATGATGTGCAAGAAAACATTTGTTCTAGACAAACAGTGCTCTTTAATCAAAAGTAGGTGAGAGGGCTGGGGATGTGGCTCAAGTGGTAGCTCACTCGCCTGGCATGCGTGCGGCCCGAGTTCGATTCTCAGCACTACATGCAAACAAAGATGTTGTGTCTGCCGAGAACTAAAAAATAAATATTAAAAACTCTCTCTCTCTCTCTCTCTCCTCTCTCACTCTCTCTTAAAAAAAAAAAAAGTAGGTGAGAAATACCAGAATGAATCCCTTGTAGAATAAAGTAAATATTCCTTGGTGACACTTCCGTTTCAGATATGTATGTGTGTGTTTTTATCTGTATGCATCTGGGTGCGTACAAACTGTATCACAATGAGTCATGGTCTTAAAAACTTGAAAGGACACTAGCCTAGAAAAATCACATTGTTTGGGAGGACAAGTAGCAAGGACTTGGGGTGACAGATTAGAAATCTGACTAAATTCTACTATATTGCATCATCCTATTTTTGCAAATGAAAAAACTGGGGCCCCGAGAGGTGAAGACTTTCCATGGCCACACAGCCCTGATGTGGCAGAACTGGGATTCCCATGCAGGTCTGCTGGCTCAGGACAGCCTGTCCCAGTGAACAGCACCAGCCCCTCCTCCCACCTTGAATATCTAGGATTGTGCAAAGCACCAAACCCCCTTATTCCCAATGACCAAAACCCCATCGGGTGGATGTTTTTGAAGGCCCCATTTTTCAGATGAGGAAGCTAAGGTTCAGGAGGTTTCAACTGTGCCCTGAGTAGGATCCACAAAGCCTGCCTTCGGCACCCACCTGCTTGTCCAGGGCCTTCATCTGCTCCTGCAGCTCCTCCACCTTGGCCTGAGCCCGCGCCTTGCACTTAAGCAGGTGGTCCATGTTCTCCAGCCGCTCATTGTCCCGCAGCCTCTTGACTTGGCTCTGGGCCACGCTGATCTGCATCTGGAGCTTGGCCCGCACCTGCTCCAGGCGCTGGATCTCCTCGCTGCCCAGGCAGTGAGGTGGAGGAGAGGCCAGCGAGGGGGCAAAGCTCAGTCTCTCTAAGGCAATCCCGAGCTCCAGTCCTCCCGGCTCAGACCAGCCCTTTTTATACCCTCTCCCCAGACCGGGGCCCAGGCTCTCAGCTCACAGTTGCTTGTTGATGCGCTGGTGGACTTCCTTGCTATAGGTCCGCCTTTCCCCTTCCATGACCTTGCACTGTCGCTGCAACTTGCTCAGCTCCCAATCCACTGAGGGTGGGACCAAGCAAGGGACTCAACATAGACCTGAGCCAGCAGCCCCCTTCTCCCCAGGACCTGGAATCGTGGTCTCTCTGGGGTCTCACAAACTGCAAATGAACTGCAGACCCAGCCGCCAACACTCTACTAGGACTACATCTCAGTTCCTGTACCCTCAGGCTTCCAGGTCCATTCATACTCCTGGTACCCAAGCTATACTCCTTTCCCCTGAACCCACTCCACCGGAAGTTTGGGCACTTATCTGTTTTCCCACTAGAGGGCGCTCCTAGAACACCTCTTGGACCTCTGGAACCTGAGGCACCCTACAAGGGACTTGGGAAAGCTCGGGCTCCATCCTCCCTTCCAGCAGGAACCACAGTAGCCCTCCGCCCCATTCTCCTGCCGCCTCACGCTGTCCGCTGGTCCCTTAGGCTCCGCTTCATCCCTTCCTGCTTGAATCATCATCGGTCTCCTTCACAACCTCCATTTACAGTCCTCAGGGTCTTTTAACACCCAGAGTAGACCCTGGCCCTCCCATGCTCAAGGACCTCCCAAGTCACAGTGTGTACAGGACAAAGTCCCAGCTCCTCGGTCTGGCACTCGAGGTCCCATATGACCTGACTCTGCCCATCTCTCCAGTCTTTTCCACCACCTCCCCACCTCCCAAGACCCAATGCTTCTCCACCAGGAGCACTTCTGTCCCCACAGATATTTGACAATATCTGGAGACATTTTTTTATTGCTACAACTTGGGCTGGGTATGCTACTGACATCTCATGAATAGAAGCCAGAGATGGCTTTTGGTATTCTATAATGCACAGGATATTCCTAACGACAAAGAACTCTCCTACTAGAGGTGTCAACAGTTTCAAGTGAAATTCTTCTCGGGGCACCCCGTTGTTCTCTCTGCAGAAACGCCCTTCCCTGCCTTCTCCCCTGAGCAATCCTTGGGAGATGTTCTGGGCCTCACTCAAATTTCTGCAGTTGCCAATCTTCCTGGCGCACCCCGCTGCTCGGGCCTGCCCACCCGCCAGCTGCCGGGTGCTACTTCCAGTCGCAAGCATGCCTGTTTTCCCACTAGAGGGCGCTCCTGGAGCTCGACCCGGGACCTGGAGCTCGGGGAAGCTAAGGACAGGAAAAGGATGAGTGGGAAAAAGAAAGAATGTATGAATTACTCATTCCCTCCAGGAAGGACTCGCTTCCATCCTCGGAGCGGTTGCTCTTTGCAGAGAGTTCCAAAGGCATCTTGGCCAAAGAAGGCGGGGCTCCTGTCGGAATTAACACCACATCCTTCAGAAAGCAGGCAGTCAAGTGCCGGGAAGTGGGGGGGGGGGGCGAATTGCTAGGGACTGGGATTTGGAAGAGGAAGATACTAGAACCGCTCTGACCTTTCTCTGAGTCTCAGTTCCTCCCAGGGACCGTATGGGTATATCTCTCAGGCTGGGACCCCACACCACTCCTGACCTCCCCATCTCTCACATTCTTGGACTTGCGTGCCGGGGCTCACTAGCGCAAGGGGACAGGTCCCGTGAGCTCTCCGTATCTCCGAGGACAGAGCTGCATGGTCAAAGGAGGGGGAGCCCGGGTCGGCGGTGGGGTCAGGATATAAGGCCCCAGCCCTACCTGCTGGAGTGCCCGACCTGTGTCCTTAGTGCTCCAAGCTCACTGTTGTGATCACTGTTGTGATCTGGTTACTGGGGAGATAAGGGACCAATGAGGCCAGAGGACAGCGTCCTGGGAGGGACCGAGGTAGCGGGGTAGAATCTAGGTGGGGAGGAAGGGCGGAGGAGGTGGTGAGTGAGCCACTTGTGGGGCTCCCCGGGGCTTAGACTGACGGCTTCAGGGCCTGCGAGGGCGGGGCTGGGAGAGTCAGGGAGGAGTGGGACTGAGAAGGTCCAGGGCTTCGGGGTGGGTGAGGGGAGGAGCACCGGCACTTGTCAAAGGCTGGGCTGTCAGGGACCACGGGGAAGACCACGGCCTGTAAAGGGCGGGGCGGGGCGGGGCCTGTAGAGGGCGGGGCGGGGCGGGGCCCGGGCCTGCGGTGGGCGGGGACAGGGCGGTATTTAAGGGGCGGGGCGTTAAGGGTGTCCCGAGGAGCTCAGTACTTAAGGGGCGGAGCCGCGAGCCGCTGCCAAATGTCCTGCGAAAACGAGGGAGGGGCGGCCTACTCCGGAGGCGCTAGAACCCGGAGGGCCCTTGGGAGGTCAGGACGGTCCGTGTGGGGAGGGGACCTTGGGGTTGTGAGGGTCAGAGGAATGTCGCGGGCCTGTGAGCCGCGGACTGTGTTTCCGGGAAGGAGAGGAAGTAGTTGAAAGATCCTAGAGAGAAACGTCTGGAAGGCTTTAGGGCTAGACTGAGGTCCTTTGGGGCCGGTCGGAGAAACACGCGCCTCAGGCTGATTAAGGCCACGTTATTTTGAGACTTCATTAGCAAGGAGGCGGTGCCAAAGCCGGGAATTGTGGCGGGGGCGAGCGCTCACCGCTGCCTTTGGTCCTCGCAGAAACACGCTACGCATGCGCGGCCAACGGCTTCCAAAGAAGCCGCCAAAAGCCCTTGGCCACCTACCGCGTCTGCGCATTGGGAGGCGGAAGTGGGCGGGACCTCAGCGCTGCCGCCTTTGCATCCTCTGGCCACGCCCCTCTTGATCACACCCTCTTTCCGCAGGACCTGCCCCCTCCGCAGCCAGCTGCTGCCCACATGGGCCTCCCTCGGGCGGCCAGTGGGCGCCTCTCCTGCAGGCAGGGTGTGCCCGACGCCTGCGGTTTCCTGTGGGAGGAAACGGCTCGCGGACGCTCAGCTCAGCTCGTATCCTCAGAGGCACGGAAGGGGGAGATCCCGCCACGTCTCTCGCTTCCCAATTCTCGCCTTCCACAGAGGCCCACCTACCCTCACCCCAAAAACACCCTCCAGAGTACCTAAGTCCAGCTCTGATCCAACCCAGGGAACCTGACTTGGGGTGCGAGGGCTGTTTCTCAGGGCCCTTTTCAATTTACATCTGCCTCCTCCGTGAAGCCCCACTCCTCCCAAGACCTGGGGCGGGGCTGTACTCCCAGAGGAGCACAGGACACTCTCCTCCAACCCATAAGTTTTCCCTCAGTGACCTAGACTTTTAAACTTCCTTGAGAATTCGGTCCCAGTCTCCATCCTCAGGAATTTAAGTTTGGGATTCCTTATTTTCCTCCCCCAAAAGATTCTCAATTTTGGATTCCAGACTTTAGCCTTGGGACCCAATGGGCCCAAAAGTTTGCTCTTTCACTGGGCGTGGTGGCGCACACCTATAATCCAGCGACTTGGAGACTGAGGCAGAAAGATCACAAGTTCAAAGCCAGCTCAGCAACTCAGCAAGGCTCTAAGCAACTGCCTCAAAAAAAAAAAAATTAAAAGGCGCTGGGATGTAGCTCAGTGGTTAAGCGCCCATAAAAATAAAACAATTTACTCTGTCGCTGGACCCTGAATTTTTCAGGGTCTGCCTGAATCCACTCAGGACCCAGGGCCTGATGTAAGTAGCAGGACATACAGTAACAGTGCTCACTGTGTGCCCAGCATTTCTCTAAGACCTATACTTCTTTGATGTATTTACTATCATCCCTATTTACAGGTGAAGAAACTGAGGCATGGAGGGGTTATAGTAACTGCTCAGAATCACACAATGAGTAAAGCAGCTTGGATTTGGATCCAGCCACTCTGGCTCTAAAGTCTGTGTTATAATGGTTCCCCAGCTTCTGGGTCTTCAGATACCCACCCAAGCACTGAATTGTAAGACTCTCATCTCCTCAGGGAGCCCAAATCAACACACCCAGCTCTGGCCCCATCTGATACCAGACATGTTAGCATCCATTCCCCAACTTTCAATTCATTAGGACCCTGACACTTGGTCCCCTTCAAAGAGATCCAGGTCCACAGTAGCAATCACCCACACACACCCTAATTCAGTATCCGAACAGTAGACAATAATAATAGTTAACATTAAGTCCCTGGTGCCAGAGTTCTGTTAAAGCCCTCTAGTGGCTTCCCACTGCACTTAGAATAAAATACAAACTCCTCCCTTGGTCTTCAAGGGTACCCTTTGATTCCCTTCCCACCATTCCCTCTGGCTCCCTTTGCTCCAGCCACACTGGCCCTTCTGTCTGTTGCCCAAACAACTGGAGCTTGTTCTTAAAGCCTTTGTACTTCCACTTCTGCCTAGCACTCAAATGATTTCTGTCTTTGGGTCTCAGAGTAAATGTCACCTCCTCCAAGATGCCTTCCCTGATTACCTGTTTCAGAGAGCCTCCCCTCATCCAGTCATTATCTCCATTGCTCAATTTCCTTCAAAGCACTTATCACCATCAAATTTGTCTTCCTCACTGGTATGTTTCTTTTTATTGCCCATCTCCCTCTACTAGAAGACAAGCTCCACACTATTCATGTCTAATTTATTTATTATTGATTTCTGCTTCACAGGAAATGTTCAATAAACGTTTGGTGAAGGAAGAAGCGTCTCCAGTGTGTCAGTGTACTGGCATTACCTTATTCATTCAGAACTAGAAGAATTACTGTCATCAGTTTATTAGCTTGCTGTCGGCATGATGATTCCCACTACACAGATTAGGAAAGTGAGGCTCAGAGAAATGAAATAAGTGGCCAAGATTACCCAGTCGGGAAATGAGGACACTGGGATTCTTAACTCCCCCCCACCCCCTGCAGGGTTTAACAGGGGCTCCTCTGACCCTCACCACAGAGCCAAGCCCACCAGTCCCAGGCCCAATCCCAGTCATAGGAATCTGCCTCCTCCCAGGTCTCCTGCCCTCCCCTCATCCAGCCCCAAAGTCCATCAATGACACAGGACGACGGACCCCAGGACAAAACTCAAGAGTCCAGGAGGCCTGAGAATCGGACCCTCCCACCCTGATGTCTGCCCCAAGGGCCTTCACATCTCAGTCCTGGGAGGGAGCCCCAGAGGATGCCCGTCAAGGGGACACTGGGCAGGGGTTCCTCTCAGGGAATTCCCTCTCAGAGGTTCCTCCCACTGGCTGCAGACCTCAGCTGGGTGCGGTGAGGGTGGGTATAAAAGGGTCAGTATATATTGAGAGGAGCAGAGAAGAGAGAGAAAGAGGGTTAGGCAGGGAGACGGAGAGAGGGAGGGAGGGAGGGAGGCGGGGGCCTCGAGAGGGTGGAAGGAGGGAGGAGAAGGGCGGGGCACGGAGGCCCGAGCGAGGGACTAGACTCCAACTCTTGACTTTTTCCGCGGCTCTCGGTAAGTTTCCAGTCCGTTATTCGAGCTGGGATTTCTTTATTTACTTGGGAGTGCAGCAGGTTGGGAAAGACACCCCCAGACTGCGAGAGACCCCCCACTCTCGCCTCCCCGTGGATACTCTTGTAATTTAAGAAGGGGTCTCAGCAATTGGGGTAGAGACTCAGGAAGGGGTGGGGCCGGCATGGATTTGGGGGTCTGCTGGGGAGAGTCCCCGACAGGAAAGCATCCTGCAGTTTCTCCCCAGGGCTGTCCACTCTCCCCGAGGGCCCGAGATCAAGGGGTGCGTGCGGACACCTCAGTCTGCGGAACCTCCAGGCCCCCATTTCTGGACACTCCAGTGTGCTGGGAGGCTGTTCCTTCCTCTCCAGCCTCACGCTCCCGGCCCTTCCCATCCATCTTCCCCCGAAGGTGTCTGGCAGGCACCAGTCTGGCAGCAGGGTGGGGTGAGGACCTCGTGGACATAGCCAGGGGCTGGGGTTTCCCTGGTGCTTGGAGGCAGAGGGGTGGATGAGTCACCAGATGAGTCACCCGGTCCCCCTCCTCCCCACCCCAGGAGGGGAGTGGTGTGAGTCAAGGATGCCTGTCTCCTAGCTCCTGATAGATGGAGGAGTGGGGGTCAACTTGAATTTTCATAAGCTGACCCATATGTCCCCAGGGACAGGGATCTGAGGAGACAGGGGCCACACTGCTAGTCTTACTCATTCCAGCACCCAGGACCTGACGCTGGCATTCTCCAGCCCCTGGGAAACGCAGGAGACCAGGGCTCAACTGCCTCCTCCCTGAGGAGTCCAGACCCCAGCCCTTCTCCCTCAGGATTGGGGTGTCTCATCCGCCTGGGTACCAGCCTCTTAAGCTTCCATCTCCTGACTACCCACTCCCCAGGCTTCCACCACAGCCATGTCGCTCCTCCTGCTGGTTGTCTCTGCCCTTCACATCCTCATTCTCATCCTACTTTTTGTGGCCACTTTGGACAAGGTAAGCCTTCTTGGAGGCGGGGCCTCCCGTTCTCCTGCAGGCAAGCCACGCCCCTTCTCTAAAACCACTCGGGCGCTGCCCGCTTTTTCTAGTCTCCACGCCCTCTCCTACTCTACCCGTGCCCTCCCCACCCACCCCACACACACACCTTGCTCTTTTCCCAATCCTTCCTAGGGTCCTCCCGACCCCGCCCATCCTCCCCTCCTAACTCCGCCCTTTCTCCGTCCCTTTAGTCTTGGTGGACTCTCCCGGGAAAGGAGTCCCTGAATCTCTGGTATGACTGCACGTGGAACAACGGCACCAAAACATGGGCCTGCAGTAATGTTAGTGAGAATGGTAAGGATGGAGGGGTGGGGGCCCCAAGCCTCCTCCCCAGTCTCGGATAGAGGATTGAGAACCCCTAAAATCGGATTGGGCGGGACAGGGCCCTGCGGCTGAGTCGGTGGGGTTGAAGCGTGCCCACTGGTCTGGAAAGCGAAACGAGTTGCTCCTGTTCTAAAGAGGTTGGGCTAAAAGCCCCCTCCTTTTGATTCAGGAAGGGTGAACTCCACATGCTATAGGTTTAAGGAACGGGGAGACAACTCCCCTAATTCTGAGAAGATACTGTTTCCAAAGTTTTAAGGAGATGGAGATGGTGTCCTGAATGGAGCATGGGACCAATTTGTCCAGATTCCAAGAGGGTGGAACATTAAGTTTCTTGAAGGGTGGGGCCACGAGAACCTGAAAGCTTTACCCTTCTAAAAGTGAAAGAGGTGGGGCTGGGATGTGGCTCAATGGTGGAGGCTTGCTTTTCCCCCAAGATCAAAGCAAATGGTTTGCCCTCATTTCTATTCAGTGTTGTACTGGAGTTAGCTAAGGCAAGAAAATGAAATGAAAGGAATTAGTAAAAAGCATCTCACTGGGAATGTGGCTCAGTGGTAGAGCACTTGTGTAGTAAAAAGCATCTCTATTCCTAGCAGACATGTTTATTTGTGTAGAAAAATCCTTCTAAAATCTGCAAAGTGACCACTAGAATTGATAAGGAATTTAGTAAGGTCACAGGGCTCAAGGTCATGTAAGTATACTAAGTGTCTAAACTCATGGCTCTACATGGGAGAGGGGGTCAGAGGGGACAGGGCAAATGACTGGCAAACAGAAAGTGGGACCAGTGATTTCCACCTCTCTCTCCTCCTTCCTGCAGGTTGGCTGAAGGCGGTGCAGGTGCTCATGGTGCTTTCCCTCATCCTCTGCTGTCTGTCCTTCATCCTGTTCATGTTCCAGCTCTACACCATGCGGAGAGGAGGGCTCTTCTATGCCACTGGCCTGTGCCAACTTTGTACCAGTGAGCATCCCCCATTTTCCCTCCCTACTTGGGGCACTGAGGGGAAAGATGGAGAGTGTCAGGATGCCTGGGGCCCAGGGACACCTGGTGAAAGAACAATTTCCAACATTCCAAGAACCACCTGAAGTGTCTCAGTGAACTGCCTCTCTGCCCCCAGGGCTGATGGGAGTTGTAGTTCCCAGTGACAGCACTGGGTTTGCCCTGAGTCATGGGGGGTGCTGGTATGAGGGAATTTAGAGGTTCAAGGAGCCAGAGGATGGGTAAATAATTTGGGTCTTAGGGATGAGGTATAGCTAATGAATACCCCAAAGGGGAGCTGGAGATCACAATGGTAATTGCAAAATTTCAGCCAGCTGTTATTTCTGGTGTAACTACCCTGTGTCAGACATTTAAGGGAGTTTTATTTCCTTTTTTTTTTTTTTTTTTTACTTAAGGTGCAAAGAGGTAAACTAATCATAGTCCCTGACTTTCAAAATATTATCTTCCTGAGTTCCTGCAAAGCCCTGCTCTTGTTTTTTTTTAATTCACTGTTGCATGCTAGGGTTGTAAAACACACACACACTCAGAAAATTCCATGGATGGATGGATGGACAGGTGGATATGATCGTCCCATTCTATGGAGAAGCAAATAGGAGCCAGAAATTAAAATTAGTTGCCAAGGCCCCTCAGTAGCTCCATTGCCTGGCACTGGCGGAGAGAGCCATGACCCCAGCAGCAGCAGCAGGCGGCGGTGTACCCACCCCCTGGCGGTCAGGAAGACTGCGGACACAACGTGACGCCCCTTCCCTTTTCCCGCAGGCGTG